ATGCACCACCATGCCTGCGTTAAGTTTTTATTGTATATATTATGGTGTGTAGTTGGCCAATTAAATTTCTTTTATTTTAGTAGGACAGCGCGGTTCTCAATCGCAATCTTGCTCAGGCTAGTCTCAAACTCCTGACCTTGAGCAATCCGCCCGCCTCAGCCTCCCAGAGTGCTAGGATTACAGGCATGAGCCACCATGCCCGACCTCTTGCTAGTTTTTATAACAAAAATGTACATTTTTACAGAATCCTTAGGAAAAGAAGCATGTTCCAAAGTGCTTTTGTTGATGACAGATTGTTCAGAATTATGTTGGAGAAATCATCTGAGTTTATTTGTGTCATTTGTGGTTACAGGTGCATTGGGACAGAAATGATGTAGACTTAATTCCTAATGGAAGTTGCATAATTGTCGACCAGACTAACAAGTAGGTATAAAGAAATGAAATATTTGCTTTGTATATCCACTATATTTATTTTACTAAATCTAAGAATTCCTTTTAGTTCATATAATTTTTCATTCCCATTAATAATTTTTCTTTCTTTTTTTTTTCTTTTTGAGCAGGGGAGTCTCGCCTTTGCTTGCCCAGGCCCTAGACTGAGTGGGGCCGGGGGTGTCAGCCGTAGCTCAGCAGCAACGCCCAAACGTCCTGGGGCTTCAAGCGATCCTTCCGGCCGCCTCAGCTCTCGAGCAGCTCGCTGACTACAGACATGTGCCACCATTGCCTTGGCTGATTTCTTGTTAGTATATGATATTAGTGGTCCCATATTTCTTTCTATTATTCAGTAGGGACAGGGTCTGCGGCTCGTTGGCTCAGGCTGCCGGTTTTCAAACTCCTGACCTCGGAGCAATCACCCCCTCGGCCCAGGAGTGCTAGGATTCAGGCGTGAGGGGCCACCGACGCCCAGCCCCAGTTAATCATTTGTCAACGAAGGCTGAGAAGTAGGTGGTTTGTTGTGTGGTGTGTGTAACGCTCCATGGAGTTTTATGTGTAGCAGTGGCCTCCGGCCCAGCGTTTTGGCACGGGTTTCAGGGAGAAATTTTTTCCGATGGCATTGAGTCGGGATTGCGGTAGCGGCGACATGGCCAGCAAAGTGGGGAGCGGGCGTGTAATCAGGATGTGCCTTCATTTGGCTCAGCCGCCTGCTCTTTTTTTTTACTGCTGCCGGCTGTCCAGCCCGCGTTCCTACAGGGCCCACAGACCTGCCCTACCGGAGTCCTTGGCCCGGGGCGGGAGTGTGGGGACCACAGTGGACGTAAAGGAAATGGAAATGGCTGTTCACGAGAGGGGCCTTCCTGTTCGCTGCTGGGTCTTTAGAATTGGGGACACGCCAACCTGCATCCCTCTTCTATCCACTTACTCTGCTTTACTTTTGTCTTTCCTCATTCCGCCCATCTTCCGTACCTTTGCAGATTTATTTGCTGTATTTAGTTTCTCAGTGGTTTCCCCATTATCTGGAGCTGCATGATGCGCAGGGACTTGCGTCTGCTGGCCTTCACCCATATGTCTATCCAGGTACCTGGGGCATCAGTGGTGCCAGGTACATGATTAACAATACAGGACCACATAGTATTTTTGAGAAGGGTACTGTGGGATTTTGTCTTGCCAACATCTTACAGGGAGGCCATGTAAAGGCCACAGAGTTTGTGATTATAGAATTGTCCCTTGGGCTGGCGCGCGGTGGCTGCGACGTCTTGTAATCCCTAGCTCTGCTGGGGAGGGCCAAGGGAGCAGATTGCTCAAGTCAGGAAGTTGTCCCGAAACGCCTGAGCCAAGAGTGAGGGCGCTCGTCTTTATAATAGAAAGAATAATTAATTGGGCCGAAGCTGAATACTTATAGAAAAGATTAGGCTGGGCATGGTGCGCGCGATGGCCTGTAGTCCCAGCTACTCAGAGGCTGGAGGCAGGAGGATCACTGAGGCCCAAGGAGTTTGGAGGTTTGCTGCTTGAGCGCGTAGGGCTGACGCCACGGCACTCACCGTAGGGGCCTGGGCAACAGAGCTAATGGACTCTGTTCCTCAGAAAAAAAAAAGAATTCTCCATTGATAGTTGGTCAAATGGCAAAGAGATTCTCTAGGTGAGTGTTCTGGCCTCAGATGCAAATCTGTTTTCTCTCTCATTTCTTTTCTTTTTTTGTGTGTTGTGCTGGTGCTCGGGTTTATTATAATATATCTTTTGGACCAAGAAAAAAGAAAAAAAAAAAAAACCCCCCCCACCCCCCGTCCCCCTCGCCTCTTGCCTCTGCCAGGCTGAGATGGGAGCCCTGCCATGCGTGATCATCCTAGGCGGCAGCCCTCAAGACTCCCTGGGGCTTAAGCCGCATCCCTTCTGCCTCAGCCTCGCCGGGGTAGCTGGGATACAGGGGAAACATTGCGTCCAACCTGGATTGTTTACCTAGCGTGCTGGACTAATTAATATGTGGATTCGTCTGTGTTTGTTGAGAGTCCTGGTACCTTATTGTGTTGGGCTCCAATGCTTGTAGGTTTTCGTGTGTGCTGGCAGCTACTTGTGGAGTACTGAGCGTGTTTCCTTTGCTCTGCTATGTGCCCTCGCAGGTAGGTTCTTGAACTCACTGTGACTCGACGCATATCTGCCTTCCGCTTGCCTTCTCTCTGCCTCCAGGTAGTGCGGTATAGCCAATTCATATCAGGTTGTGAGCCACCGCGCCTGCGTAAAGGCTAATTGTACTTAATCTGTGGTGTTGTTGTCCGGAAATGTGGATGATTGGTCGTGATAAACTGCGCAGGGAACGATAATAGAGAATTGCAACAAGCGTGATCATAAACGTGTACAGTTCAAGAACGAATTGTTCGGCGCGCACAGATGAGCGGTAATCCCTTGATGTTGCTAATACTCATAATCAGATTTAAGAAACAGCAACAATGTTCCAGCGTATAGTTTGTGTATTATAGCGAGTAACGCAGCAGTTCGTGTATGTATATCTGTAATATTGATAAGTTGACAGATAAATAAGACCTTGTTCAAGTATTAGGCGGGCTGTTATGCAATAATTGCTGGTTGTGACTGCATTCTTTGTGCAATAATTTTGTTGGTTGCTCATGGCATGCAGTTTCTGCCTTGGTTTTGTAACTGGAGAATTGCCGTAGTGTGTATTGCAGAATTGCGCCCCCCATGTGAGGTGGATCAACCGAGATAACCGCTCCTACCAGAAATTAGTTTGTGAATGCTAGGATATGTGACGACACAGTGCGGGTATTTCCAGAGATGATGGATCGTCAGAGTATCTAGTTGACATTGATGAAGAAATTATCTGTGGGCAGCTGGAGCATGTGAAGTGGCCTCGTGTTTTGCCTTTATAGTGAGATTGAAGAAGAGGCAGTGGTTTGGTTTATTGTGTGGCGCTCGGAGGCGTGGGGGCAGCATGGGAGGGTTTCCAGGCAGCCCAGGAGCTTGCTTGAGATAAGTTAAGATCTTCCCGCACTGATGCCTGGGGAGAGGAGCATGTGGGCGCTTGCTTAGATCCGATTGGTGCTCATGGGATGTTCGCGTGCGGAGAGAGTGGGAGAGAATGAGGGAGTGGGAAGCTTGACGGCATGTCCCCAGGTACTACAGACATAAGTCAAATAGATGTGACATGAAGGTCTGTGG